GACTTTCCAGTTTGCAAACCAGCAGAACAACTGCGGAAACCTGTCTACAGCAGAATCGGATTACGCAACCGGTCGGGTAGAATGGCTCCCTAGTGTTCACAAGCCATACAACCTTGATATCTCTTTAACCACTTCCTTGCTCTGTTGGGAAAGTGAAACCCCCAATCTTCCTAAACCTCTCGACGGTGAACTACCGGGGCTATGTCGTTATGACCCTATGATTTTTGACCGAGACACTTGCTCAAAAAGTTTGCTTGCAATGGACATTGGGCCTCTCTCACATGCTGAACTTTACAATGCAAACACTGTCACACCCTTTACGGCCAGGGAGGGATCACTTTCAGGGAAAGCACTAACACAGATAGCTCCAGGATTCCCGGCTTCTAGGGTTAGAGGAACCCAATCTGAACCTCCCCGCACACTTCAACCGCTTTCCCCAACAGCCCCTCCTTTCATCCCCTCCTCTTTTAACTCATTCCAGATCCTGGAGACATGCCAAGACAGTGAGGAACTGCTAGTGGAACAATCCTTAAATGGAGATAGAGACAATATTGACTTATTAAATTGCTTTTCTACCTCTAGGTTGCTGAAGCTTAATGCCCTCGAGGATGTGGCCCCATCTGGTGGAGAACCGGCTCTATATACTCACTCCGAAGGTGAGTCAACAGCTTTGATTGACTCAAAGCTTGAACCGTGTAGATTCAGCATCCCCAGCAGCTCCATAGTATCAATGCCGTTCCCGAAATTATCCAAAGGAAAGCCAACTTCTTCACCGTCACATATGGTCACCAGGAGCAGGGCTAGGCAACTAGCTGAAGGAAGGAGAAAAACTCCCATTAGGGGAGTTGACACCTCGGACGAAGATGAAGAGTCCTTCTTTGACGGTATTCGTTCTGTTTTCAAAAGAAGCTGTCTAACCATTCAAACTAAGATGACTTGTGCACCTGCCCTGGTACCTCAAAGCCCCCAGCGGAAACTTACCATAAATCAGAAAAAGAAAGCGAAGACGAAATTAAAAAAGGCTCGGGCAGCGGATGCTCACATAGCTCTCAAAGCTAAAATCTCTGAATTACATGACCACTTTGAAGAAGATTATGATTATGTAGATTTTCTGTAAATCTATTCTTCTTTTGTTATCTTTATTTGGACGGCCCATTAGGGGTTGGATCCACAGTTCTTCAAGATTTGGGCTTTGTTCGGGTTTGGCCACCCTTCTTCTTTGTACTTTTCATTGTACTTTTCTTTTCCATTCAATAAACTTTGTTTTTATAAATATAAATAAATAAATAAATAAATAAATATATATATATATATATATATATATTGGCCTGGGAATCACTAGGAATATATTCATCAATGTTGTACTATTGTTCTAAAAAGAATCCAAGTGTTAAATTAGCAAAACGGATCAAAACAAAACGGTCGACCGCCGGCCGCAACGGAAGACCACGGTGGACCGCCGGCATCCCAGTCCTCCACAATGTAGCCCACGGTCGACCGCCGGTGGGGTACGGTCGACCGTTTCCCGGGCAGTTTTTCGGACAGTTTGTAGAACGAGCTCCGTTGATCATATTGACTCAGGATCTGATTGTATGTTTGTATGAAATGTTAATCTTCATTATTATGTTATTTAATTGATATATTCTTGGCGTTGACCAAAGGTAAATATATCAAGCATTCATCATGTTCATTTTAGACGCATGTCCTAGGTTTATCATCATGTGCATACCACTGTAGGGAGGTCAGGCTTTCGTGCGCCTACTACAGTGGGCCCGTCCAGGAACCTTTGGGATCCAACGGGTTTTCATCAGGTGGGCTTTGTGTACGTACATGGTAGTCAGGCTACGGCTACCACCCAGTTTTGCTAGTTCACTTGCGACATTTTCGTCGAGCCTGGCTAATTACCGGAGTGCAGGGGTGATCCTGTCAAGTGAGACTAAGCCAGGGGTGTCCCTGATAGTTTAAGTCATGTAACAAGTCATATCGTCATCATGTGGGTTCCATGTCATGTCAACATTCAATGTGGTCGTCATCATCATGTATGTTCCACGTCACATCAACATTCAATGTGGTTGTTATTCATTTTGTTATGGGTAATAATATCCCATCAAGTGCAAATTTATCAGTTAGTAAACATGTGGTTTTCCGTACGTTAAAGTACAGGTATTAGTATGTGTATAATCATATGGGTTATCACTTCATGTTCTTTTGTTAGATTCACTCCTCAGCTTTTGCTGATCGTGTAGTTGTTTTTGCTACACGCAGGTAGACATGACGGTACGGGTGCTAACCCTGGAGGACAGTGATGATGGGAAGATGGGCGGTGCACGGACGAGTTTATTAATTATAATCATTTGAATTAATCAATCATTTGGGCGTGAACCCATCATATGTCGTTTTACCTATTTTGGACTTATTTATTTACTTCCGCTTTTACTCTGCATTTAAATCATGCACGTTTTGGGATTAACTCCCTAGCATTTATTTCACCAATTAAACCCAACCGTTTTTCATAATAAATGCACATTAATGTTTTACGTTACGGACAGTTCTCGGACCGCCCATGTAACCCTGCTGGTTCGTTGGGTCGCGGGTGAACCGGGTCCACGGAAGGGGGGTGTTACAGAAAGAATCAGGTTGTCATTGTTCAGGATCAATGAGTTTGGAAGACATGCTATGGGATTCGAAAGAGAGCTGAGAATCGTAAGCGGAGACCTCTAAAAAATGGATTGAATATGAGAATAGTGGAGAAGAAAGTGGGGTTGGCCTAAAGAAGTTGAGTTTATAGACGTTACGATACGGAGTCCGAGACAAGAAGATAAGATTTCTTTCTGATTCGGGACAGGGATCAAAGACGGCTCATCATTAGTTTCTCAGTGATGCGTTACTAAGAAACTAGGGGGCTTGTGATAGATATCGGGTCAACCATCGGGTCAAGGATGCCCAGGGGATCCCATTATCACGACCCAAAAAGAGTTATGGGGGCCCGAGGCCCATGGATGGAATGCAACGGACCAACTAGAGTGGGCAGGTAATGGGCTAAGCCCAACCCGCCAATCAAATCACACGATACCACGAGGGGGATCTCACCTGTCGTGGGTAATTGACGACTGAGTCCTCGCGCATAATTAGCCAATTAGTCCGTTTTGGTGTAAGACTATAAATAGGATGTGTTTCCCTTCATTGAAACTCAAGCTGAATTAAGCTAATACATGTCTACGAGAGTCATATATCATTCTTTATCATTCTTTTTCACATACAAGCTTTTCATACCACCATAGCATTCTATCACATGATTCACATCCCTCAAAGTAAAAAAAAGACGAGTGGATATTAAAATAATGGAGCATGCTACATGTATCCCAAAATTTGTACCCTATTTGTAACCAAAAATATGCACCAACATTTTGATGGTTCACAGTGACATAAAGTATTGGTGCGATAACAGAAATTTACACTATGCTAACACAAAGTATTGGTGCGTTAACAAAAATTAGCATTACACCAACATAAAATGTTGGGCATCCCTACGGTGTACAAAATGGGGTACAAATTCTTGAGGTACAAATAGCATTATCCTAAAATAATACTTCAAACGAAGTACCTTTGTTTCATATAGAAATTCTTTTTTCTCATAGTTAAATTTGTAACATAATATACTTTCTTCGATCTTAAAAACCTTTCTTGTTTTACTTTTTTAACCAAATAGTGACACCTTTTATCATAAATTAAACATAACCTAAATAAATTAATGATACTCCCTTCGTCTCTGAAAACCTTTCTCCTTTCTTTTTTCATGCGTTCTAAAAAACTTTTCTCAATTATATTAAAAAGATACTTTTACCCCTACTGATTTTTAACCTACCTATCACATCACATCTTTTCACTATTAACCTACTCATCAAATCCTACTTTTACTCATCACATCCAAGAACATTTTTGGAAACTCAACACCAAAATACACTTTCCTTAAAGCCTTTAAAAAAACAAAACCTTCCATGTTTTTAGGGACGGTGGGAGTATAAAAATTTGATATATAAAAACAACATCTTAAGATTAACCTAATTATATTGAATTTATATTATAATTAAATATTTTTTTTCACACAATTTATGATTAAAGAATGTCACTCTTTGACAAAAAAAAAGTCAAAACAAAGAAAGATTTTAAGAAGGGATGGAGTAGTTAACTTTCTTTTGGATGCAAACTAGATTTTGTACCCGTGTGTTGCAAGCGTTGCATGGCCCTATCATTTATCTAAAATATAAAGAATACAAGTTTAATACAATTAATGTATAAATTGAAATTCAAATAGAACTAAATATAAAATTAACATGACATCTAATTATTTGAATTTGTATAAAATATAACTAAACTAGTACAAATTTTAAGGAAATCATTTTGTAATGTCAAATGACATCTTGAACAATAATTAAAAATTAAAAAACTTAAAAAAAGTTATAAATGAATTTTAACAAATTTAAAACTAAAAATAAAAAACTGAAGAATATAAATGATGAAGAAGCAAAGAAAAAATTTAAAAATGAAGAAGCAACAAACACCAAAGAAAAAAGAGCAAAAAAGAAAAAGAAGCTGCTTTATCAAAATGTGTTGCTAGAACATTTCTGTTTATAGTGCATCAGAGTTGGTAAACAAAAAAATAAAATGAAAATTGAAATAGTGTGGATCTGATAATGTAATTTTTATGGGAACATGTATTTATAGTACAAAATAGTTGGGATGTGCAATCCAAAATATTTGCACACGAATCTAAAGATTTAAAAATTTTGTATAATTATGTGATGCCTCAAAAGGTGCGTATATTCAATTCTCCAAGCCACCATTACACTACCCCGCATGCAAGCTGCCAATACACTCCCCTCAATTCAAAAGTTATATTGGCATCACAACTTCCAATAAAGCGAGTCGCATGGCCTTGTACAATACCCAAGCTAAGGCACCTTCACACCTTTCTTTGTACAAAATAAATATGATATCATATTTTTTGCATAAAATGACATTTTCCCATAAAGTAGCCCATTTCAAGACCCATAATTAATACACTAACCGTTCTCACAAAGGTTAAGGGTTCCTAATTTGACCAAGTAAAAAATAAGGAGGTATAAAATTCTAGCCACCATTACACTATCCCGCATGCAAGCCGCGAATACACTTGCCCCAATTCAAAAATTATAATAGCATCACAACTTCCAATAAAGTGGGCCGCATGTCACACATTCATCTCTACAAAATAAATACGATATAACCTTTTTCAATAAAATGGCATTTTCATATAAAGTATCACATTGCTCGATACCTCATGCTAGGGGTACACCCAAAGTGGAACCCCAAGTTGTACCCCAAAGAAATGCACCGACATTTTAACGTTCACACTGATAGAAAATGTTAGTTCAATTAAAAAAATGGCGTCGGTATATTTTTGTCAATGTAAATCATCACACTAATATCACACTAGCATAAAATGTCGGAGCATATATACCATTGGGATAAGAAATGGGATACAAATTTTGGTGTACAAAAAGCATAATCCAAGGCTTTTTACTATTTTCCAGCCGGCGTCACCCCTTTCTCTTCCCCATTAATAAACACACTCACCGAAACCAAGCCGCCCTCACGCACTCTCTCATGCAAAGTAAGTAATACTACCTCCGTCCTCAAATAAACTTCCCTTATTGATTTTTTAGGAAATTAAGGGAGGGATATTTTGGTGTTGACTTTCCAAAAATATCCTTGATGTGATGGATAAAAGTAAGATATGATGGGTAGATTATTAGTAAAAAAAAGTATGATGTGATAGGGATGATGTGATAGGTATGATATGACAAAGTAAGGGGTAAAAGTGATTTTTTAAGGGAAAAAAGAAGTTTTTTTGGGGACAAAAAAACAACGAAAGGAGAACTTTATTTCGGGACGGAGGGAGTATTATATTTCTGATTTCTCTATAAAGTGACTTTCCCCCATCAGGCCCGTTCCCCCATTTTTTTGGCTCATTTCAAACCCATGCTCATAATATTTAGGCGGGAATTTTAATGTTCTTCTTTTACACATTAACTTTGTATATTGGTTACTCTTGTATATTAGAATTGAATACGTGCAATTAACCGGTCGGACTATCACATCCCTATTCAAAAGCCCAAGTGTAATAAAATTGTTATATCTCGTATAATACCAACGTAATTAACCGGCCGGACTAATCACATCCCTATTCAAAAGCCCAAATGTAATAAAAATGCAATATCTCGGATAATACCAACGTAATTAATCATCCTTCAAAAAACACGAATTAAATACCAACAAGAATAGGAATAAGTAAAATTTGTTCCATATAGGAATAATGCATCCATAAATTTTACGGAGTATTTTAAAAAATAAAAACTCCAATACCAGGTAGAATAGGAGTACCAACGAACACCTGAAGATGACAAAACTATGCCTTAACTTTAAATACGGTGAAATTTGCTAGAGTATTAGACTAGTAATTAAACAAATAGCCACTTTTCTTCGTAAAACCTTCTCTTCTCTTTTTGCTCATTAAACCAAAGCTCCTAGCTATACATACACTTTTGATTATTTTTTTTTTCAAAGCTGATGAGATTATTATGCATATAAAAACCCACCACCTACTACGAGCTTATCTCTTTTGGACAGCAGTAGTACTATTCGCCCTTCACGCCGCCGTGAAGGGCGACAGTAGCGTATTATTGGGAACGCGAGTCGACGCGGTGGTAGCGCAAGACGGGTCGGGGCAATTCCGGACCATCGGGGAAGCTATCAAAGCGGCGGCGCCGGAGAAGAGTGAGAGGAAGTTTGTGATATACGTGAAAGCGGGGGTTTATTATGAGAAGGTGGTGGTTGGTGAGGAGAAGACGAACTTGACAATCATTGGTGCGGGAATGGATGCCACCATTGTTAGCGGCAACTTGAGCCATATGGGAGGATACGACCTAAAATACACTTCCACATTTGGTGAGTAATTATATTAATTCAAGGTTAATTAACCCTTGTTCATTTTTTCAATATTATTACTCCCTATCGTTATTAATTACGATCTCCGTCTCGAATATTTGTTCAATTTAAATTTTTTAGTCAATCGTTTTCAATTTTTGACTTATAACTAAATAAAATATATATTGTAGTATATATAATTAGATAAAATATTATTTTGAAAATATTTTATATAATAAATCTAATAAAATTATTTTTGTATCAATATCTAATATCATTTTTATATAATTTGGAACAAAAAGTTACCAATTTTGATCAAAAAATTCAAAAGTAGACAAATAATCCGGAACGAAGGAAGTACTTCTTCTATCCCTTAATTTTTCTATTATTTAATTTTCACCATTTTCTATACACTATTTGAAAATTAATATACTTCGTATTTATTTAAATATAAACATAAATTATAAAAATATGATATATCTTAAAATTGCATTTTATAAGGTGTATATTTATATTAACTCTATATACTCCATTCCCTCTGTTCCATAAAAATTTTTGGATTTTGACTTTTGGGTGATTTAAGAAAAGTATATTTTGATGTTTGACCTTCTAAAAATGTCCTTAGAGTTTTCTTTTTAATATTGATGTTTCATATCAATGGATATATAATTAGGAATAATGAAAAGAAGTAATTAAAAAATAAAAAGTAAGATGGGATGTGAGAGATGTGATGTGAGAAAAGTAAGACTAAAGAGAGATATTTTAGTCCACTTTAAAATGAGAAAGTTGAAATGTTTTATAAGACATGTGAAATGTTTTATGAGACGGGTAAGATGAGAAAGTTGAAATGTTTTATAAGACGGAGGGAGAGTATATCATACGGAGTAATACTTAGTTTATCACGCTAAACATTTCTTGTTTTGACTTATGAGGCGAGGAGGAAGTTGTATAAGTTTGACTAAAGTGAAACTATGCCAATTGAAACGAGTAGTGCTCAAAAAACATCATAATGGATAGGATAGGTTGTTGAAATGTAAGTGTTTTTATTTGTGACCCTTGAAAAAAGTGCGAGAAACATTTTGGGATAAAATTTATTAGTCCATTTAGTCATTTACTACTCCATCTATTCATTAGATTCTTTAATTTGTAGGTAGTAATTCGTTTATGTTGGTTGCATGCAGCCGTGTTTGCGAAAGACTTCACAGCCTACGACATTGGATTCCACAACACGGCCGGACCCGCCATGGGGCAAGCGGTGGCCCTTATGGTGGCCGGCGACCGGGGGGCCTTTTACCGGTGCAAGATATCGGGATACCAGCACGCTTTTCGCCCAATCAAACCGCCAATACTTCCGGGACTGCGCCATCTACGGCACCGTGGACTTCATCTTCGGCGACTCCGCAGCGGTGTTCCAGAACTGCGCCATCCGGCCCCGGACGCCCCTCCCGGGCCAGTTCAACGCCATCACCGCCCAGGGCCGCCGCGACCCCGGCGGCAAGTCCGGGTTCTCTTTCCAGAACTGCGACGTCTCCCCCGCGGAGGATCTCGCCGGAGTCAGGACGTTCTTGGGGCGGCCGTGGAAGAGCCACTGCAGAGTGGTCTTCTCGAACACTTACATGGCCGGCTTCATTGACCGGAGAGGTTGGGCGGCTTGGTCGGGGGACGACGACTCGCCGCCGCCGCCGGACACCATTTACTATGCCGAGTTCGGCAACTACGGCCCGGGGGCGGATACGGCGAGTCGGGTCCGTTGGAAGGGGTTGCATTTAGGGGCAAGTGGGAGTGCAGAGGCAAGAACGTTTAGTGCTGATAGTTTTATTGAAGCAAGCTCTTGGATTCTTCCAGAGGCCACTAGAATGATTACCTTATTGAACCCTCCTTCAGCCGAAGGAGAACCGGTTGAGGGGGAGGAGAATCGGGTTGGGCCTGAACCGGAGGGGAGGGAGCGTGAACCGGAAGTGAAGGGGAGGGGAATTGCACCGGAACTATTAAGGAATGGAATGGCACCCGAATTGGAGAATGGAGTAGTCGGATCTGAACCGGCAGGGGAATCAATAACTGCCCCGGAACCGGCGGTGAAAGGAAATGCACCTAAACCGGCTGAGAATGTAATTAGTGCGCCAAAATCATCTGGATACGCTTCGAAACCGGGGAATGGAATCTGTGATATTGGAATGTGTTGCGGAAACAAGCCTTTGAATATAGCTTTACTTCTACTTCCTCCATCCCCAAGATATTCTCATTTTGACTTTTGGTGATTTTAAGGAGAGTTGAAAAAAAGTGAAAGTTTATCATAATACCCTTAATGAAAATGGGTGGAGTGTATTAAATGAGGTGGGTGAGGTGTAATAAATAAAGTAAGTGAGGGTAGTTGTGGTATTTTAATTGTTAAAAAATGAAATGAGAAGATCTGTTGTGAACAAAGAAAAAGGGCTATTGGGAAGATCTATGGGGGACGGAGGGAGTATTTTGTTTGTGGGTTTCTAAGAGCAACTATAGCGCATAGTGTATATGCCTAAATAAGTAAATATACACTTTATGCCATTTACTATTTATATTTTCGTTCTCCAATGCATTGTGTATACCTAATGGTAAAATGCACTATAGTGCAAAATACCACTCCCACCTTCTATTTATACAAGATCACTATTACTCATTCTTTTCCTCTCTCTTTTTTTTATTTCTCTTTCTTCTTCTCAATTTGCTTCACATTTGTCCTTTTGTTAATTCATTTCTTCATTTATTGTGAGTTAATTCTATTTCTTTTACATATTGTAATTTTATTCGTAAGTGACATTCTCCATTCTAATAATTAAACTATGAATTAAAATAAGTATTATGAATAAATAATTTTAGAATAATAAAAAAAATTAAAAAAGTGTATTATATAGAAGATATGATTGGAGTAGTTATTAAAAATTGGGTGTGTATAACACTGTTGATAGTGTAAAATTGATTTTACACTACCACTTTATACCCTATGCACTGGAGATGCTCTATTTCGCCATCACTTTCGCGCTTCTCCGTAAAACATCGTATATTTTCCCTTTTCTTTTTTTTTAATTAAAGATTAAATAGGAGGACCTACGGGTCTTTTTACGGGTGGTTTCCCTCACTTGGAAAAAGCACATACATTAATTCCTCAAGTGGAATTCTAAATTCCCCACTTGGAAGATCGCATGTACTACATGCAAAAGTGTTTTTTTTAATTTTTTTTTAAAATGTCCAATGGCATGTCCAATTATCCACCCCTTCTCATTCCTATTCAATACAAAATGGATTATGTTGTGTACCCCAAGATTTATATCACAATTTGTACCTCACAGTTTTGCACCAACATTTTGTATTGGTGTAAAACTAATTTTTGTTAACGCACCAACATTTGTGTCTGTGTAAATTTTTATTAACGCACCAACACTTATGTCGGTGTAAACCATCAAAATGTTTGTGCAAAACTGTGGTGACAAATGGGGTATATTTTTTGGTGTAAGTGTAGCATTGTCCATACAAAATACTTACTTCCTTCGTTCTCGAAAAGAGGTTCCTAGTTTGACTTAGTATAAAAATAAAAAAGTGTCAAAGGAAATATTTTTTATAACGTGTCAAAAGTGTCCTAGTTTGACTAGTATGACTAAAAGTGCTACATTGGGAAGAAAAACACATATAGTGTTATTTAAGGAAAGTCATTATGTTTTAGTACTATTTAAGTAAATTCCCCATAGAAAAATTTAAAAAGGAAATATTTTTTATAACGGAGGAAGTATCATATATATAATGGTGTAAATGTGTGTATATGTTTGTATGTATGTATATCATGGTGTAAATGTAGAAAAATAATAATGGAGAATTTAAAATCTTTCAAACAATTTTATTTATCAAAATTGATGTTGTAAATTACCTAACCGAGTAAATAGTACTAGATCGAGTCTAAGGTTATTTGCAGAATCTAGACAGTTGAAGGTAACAAACACGCAAATTAACCTCACTTGAGGGTTACACAAACATTAGTTTAAGGTTATTTTATTTTATTAACCAAAATCTTAATTTATAATTAGTTTAACCAAAAGCCTTCATTGTTTGTATTTAATGTGATGTAGTAAAGTAGTGTAGATGAAAAGTAGAGATATATTTAACAACATCTCTACCTTTTAGTAAGGATAAGGTCTACGCACCCACTCTTTCTAACCCAAATTTCGTGGGATTGAATCGAGTAGTTATTCTTTATTTTTAAAATAACATTGGGTTAAAAAATACTCCATACAAGTATTTGGAAAAATTCTTGTTTTAAAATGAGAAAAATAAACATTAGATTATAATATTCCATAGATCTTATTATTTTATCCATGTTTTTAAGAAAAACGTTAACAAAGGACCATTTGTGAAAAATGATACTCCCTTCGTCCCAGAGTATTTGTCTACTTTCATTTTTACACACCATCCAATACACTTCTTTAATCCATTTTATCTTGTAATTTGTATATTAAAAATTATAGAAATTATATATTAATAATCTATATGTTAAGACAAATCAAACAAGATCACACATGACTATATTTAGGCTTACACATTGAGAAAATTTGATGAGTCAAAGTGCTTAGATGAACAGTTCCAAAAGTCAAAAGTGGACGAATATAGTGGGACGGAGGTAGTATAATAATTGGGGACTAAATTAGTAATATTTGATATATAGGGACTAAATATGTAAAACGGCCTATAACTGGGGACCTTTTATGGAATTTACTCTCTTTTTTTTAATTTCGTAATATGAGACAAACCGAAAAAATTCTTAATTTGATAATTTTTTTAAATTTCGAAATATGAAAAAAAAATCATTTCATTAATTTTGCATGTACTACATGCGAAATCATTTAAAAGGATATGCTAGGGGTACACCAAAGATGTACCCCAAATGTACACCACCCCCCTCTTTACCATTCATTTTATTTTATTTTTATTTTTTATTTTTTTTTGAATTTTTCTTGCCTTTTTTGTGTGATGATAGAGGGGGTGGGAATGTTTGGGGTACACTTTTGGTGTACCTCTATCATTTTCCTTTAAAAAAAACTGGGAAAAAATTTGAGTGATGAAAGTTTGATGTTGATGTTTTTGCATTTAGTACATGCGAAAATTCTGAAACAAAAAAAAGTAATTGCATGTTATACATGCGAAAGTTGGAGTGGGGAATTTGCTTCTTAAAACTTTCCCACTGAGGGAATTGCTCCTCTTTTTACTCTGTGCCACGTAGGGCTGGACACGGTACCGGTTCGGTACCGTTACCGGCGCCGGTACCGGCGGTACCTGCAACCGTCCTCGTCGGTCGTTTCGTCACCCGGTACCAGGAACCGGTACCGGCACCGCCCCACTCGGTACCGGTTCCGGTGCCAACATTTCCGTCCCGGAACCGGCAGTACCGGTACCGGTTCCGGTACCATACCGTGTAATTTTTTTTTTCTCTTTTCCGGCAGTCCAATCATCGCCCTCAAGCAGCCGCTCGAAGAACATTGAAGGAAGAGAACGGAGTACCGCATAAGAAGAAAACGGAGTACCACAGAAGAAATTGGTCCGCAGAAGAAGAAGAAGAAGAGAACGGAGTACCAATTTCTCAAAAAAAGAAGAAGAGAACGGAGTACCGCAGAAGAAATTGGTCCGCAGAAGAAGAAGAAGAGAACGGAATACCAATTTCTCAAAAAAAGAAGAAGAAGAGAACGGAGTACCGCAGAAGAAATTAGTCCGCAACATATGCTCTCATCGCCATCATCGGCTTGTTCCGCAGCAATAGCCATTGGGACTATGGGGAGTCGGCGACTGGAAACCGCATAAGAAATTGGTGGCCGGTCTGGTACCGAAACCGCCGGTCCGGGTACCGGAACCGGTACCGGCCGGTCCGGTCACGGTACCGGTACCAAGGGGTGGCGGTACCGGAACCGGCGGTTCCGGAACCGAAACCGTCCCGGAACCGTACCGTGTCCACCCCTAGTGCCACGTGAACGGAAATAGGACTACTCCTCTTTTGGGAAAAGGGCCCTCTTTTGGTCCTATTTGAGTAATTTACTCTATAGTATATATATGACTGGTGCTAGCAGGGATTGTGGTCATAATTAACTAGGGTGATTGATTGCGTGCTGGTGGATCGCAAATTTGGCAGGGGGAAATGATACGTGGAGATAAGGTTAAATCTTTAGGCAATTTTGGTGCCTTTTTTCTTCGTTAAATCCTTCCACGCCATCATCATTCCCTAGCTTATCCACAAAGGCGTATAATTAAGGCTTTGTTTGGTAACAACGTTTTCGATTAGCGTTAGCGTTTTGGATAAAATTTTAACGGTGTAGATTATTTCTGAAAACGCTAACGCTAAAGGCTACCGTCGGATAGCTTTTTCAAAACGCTAACGCTAATCTCTGACGCTGATGCCAAACGGGGCCTAAAGTGGCATATAAAGTGGCATTAGCGTTTAACACCCGAGTTTGACAAGAAAATTTGACACCTCGTATTTTATAAGGGCAATGCTAGGGGTACAACAAGAAGGGGTACCCCAAGTGTACACCAAACCAACACAGACACACACAGACACAAAATGTCTGTGCAACACAGACACTTTGTGTTTTGTGTGTGTCTGTGTTGGCTTGGTGTACATTTGGGGTACCCCATATTGGTGTACCCCTAGCTTAATTCATTTTATAAATGCATAAGAAAACAAAGGACATGTTAGGAATACATAAAAAATGAGGTACTCTATCTGTACGACGGGCAAACACAGACATTTAGTATCTATGATCCAGAATACTAAGTATTTATGTTTGTCCGTGTTTAATTTACCTGTTTTACAAATAGGGTACTCCATTCTAGTGTATCCCTAAATTTATTGGGAAAGTAATTGTCTATATAGGCCAACCCGTAACAACCGTCTACACTCGGGAATTCACCCATTAACTACTGGGTCAACTTATTTTATTTTTATAAAATATACTTCGTATATAGTGTAAAAATAAATAAAATTTTGTGAAAATTAAAAGTGTGCCCCTAGTAAATAACTTTTGTTCTCTAGTTAAAAAAGTTAATTCTATAAGAAAAGTAAAATTATTTAAATTATTAAGAAAAGTAAAATTATTTAAATTATTTAAAATTATAAAGGTAAACTGTTTATAACATTAAAGTTATAGTCTCTCCGTCTCACAAAATCTTTCTTCTTTCTTTTTTCATCAATCTCAAAAAACTTTTCTTATTTTTATTCAAAAGTTACTTTTACCTCCTACTAATTTTTATCATATCTATCACATCACATTTTTCACTATTAATCTATTTATCAAATCCTACTTTTATCAATCACATCTAAAGACATTCTTGGATACTCAATACCAAAATATACCCTTTTAAATTCTTTAAAATCAAAACTAAAAAGACTTTGTGGGACGGAGGGAGTATTAAATACTACGTACTTATGATATACTACGTTATTCATTCAGTACTATATTTTCTACTTTTGAAATATTATGTTTCACTCATTATTTTAAATTTATTTGATATAAAGTGTATTTTTTTCCATCATAATTTAAAAAGTGTCTTAAAAAATCCACTCATCGTCTATACATTACTATGGTAAATTTTAGTATCAAAGTTGGTGTGCATTTAGCATGGCCCAAAGGGAAGACATGATGTGTATCATTTACAGAGTGTACAACTTTTGGGACTACTTCCTCCGTCCCAATTAAAAAAACATTTCACTTTCAACCATGTATAAAATGTCATTTCTTTTAAAATTATTTTATTTATGAATTGGTATATATAAGTTAAAAAAATACAAAGTATATGAGTATTTAAAAATTATAGTAAAATTTTATACACATAAAAAATTATAGAATATTATTATATTTAATCAAATAGTCAATGAAACTTCTCAAATATATAAACATTATTAGCAAGCCGTTATAATAGATATTTCTGGTATATATATGCCTGAATTTACTCCACTAACGTTTTCAGGAAATTTAGGCTATGTTCTTTTTTGTTGGAATTTTAATATTAGATGGTGGAAGAAACTAAAAGAAATTGAAAGAAATTGGAAGAAGCTAGAATAAGTTAGAAAATATTAGAAAAAATAAAGTGTTAAAAAATCACTCAATTAAATGATTACCCAAATAACTATGTAAGAAAAAAAAATTTGGGTGTAAATTAAAAATTAATTTATCTTTGTTCATGTTTGAGGTAGTGTTAAATTTGGATATATAATGTTATTGTATAGTCATCATATGTAAATATTGAGACAAAAATAATTTTATTAGATTTATTGTATCAAATATTTTCAAAATATATTTTTATCTAATTAATATATAATATATATTTTATTTAATTATAAGTCAAATGTTGAAAACAGTTGACTGTAAAAAGTCAAAACTGGACAAATACTCAGTGACGGAGGTAGCATATTTTAATACTCCATCCGTCCCTAAATAAACTTCCCCTCCTTTCGTTTATTCTTTGTCCCCAAATACACTTCTCTTTTCCCTTAAAAACCCCCTTTACCCCTTACTTTTTCATACCCTACCTATCACATCATATCTTTTTATTAATAATCTATCTATCACATCTTACTTTTAGACATCAACATCACATCAAATGTGTTTTTGGAAAGTCAACACAAAAATATCTCTCCCTTAAATCCTTAAAAAGTCAAAAAGAGAAGTTTATTTAGGGACGGAAGGAGTCACTTAACAAATTTGGATGATGAAAATAAATTTGGACATTGGGTAGGTGTGCATTTCTTTCCACTCTTTGAAATACATTAAAAGGCATGACCTTTTTTGATACTGGAGAACTTCATTCTCACTTACGGCATGTTTCTATAATTCTATTTATTAATTTTGGATAGAATAAACTTGGCAAGTAAAAAATTCAAATGATATCGGGAACTTTTGTTAGGAAGAATTTTATGGATAAGATTAAAAGAGTAGTAAAACATCAAAATATGAATTATAAGTTTTTCAAAATCAAAATAAAAGTTCACATTATTATCACTGTGTTACACTCATCATATTGTCACATTGTTATAACTTCTGCCACATTATCAACTACCACATTGTCATCTGCCACCGTTGGTCGCTGACGGCCTGACGTTGACTAGTGATAGACCAACGATTGATTGATCACATTGTTATATTATATGGTCCTCACTTTTTTTAGCATTACACTACCATCTCTTTTACATCACACGATCATTATACTTCTATATATTTAGAATATCGAAGTACTATACAAGACTCAAAATTTGGTAATTTAGTTAAGTTTACTCATATCTAGAGAGATTTTTTATTCTCTTAGGCTTCGTTTGGTACATAGAATTCAAGCCATGTAAATGTAATTGGAGACTCCAATTCTAGTTAGTTCTACTATTTCGTAGCGCAATAATATGTGAAAGTATATGAAAATTGAATTCAAATTTTATACTCCCTCCGTTCCAAAAAGTCCGACACGTTTCGAAAAAACTGCGTCCCGTAAAGTCCGTTACATTTCTATTAAAAAACCACTTTTACCCCTTACTTTTTCATACCCTACCTATCACATCATACCTTTTTCCTAGAGTATTTTTGGAAAGTCAACACAAAAATATATCTCCCTTAATTTTCCAAAAAGTCAATATGTACCAATCTTTTTGGGACGGAGGGAGTATTTTTTAATTTCACATTTTAAATCCAATAACACAAGAAAATAAATTGAAATCCACAATTTGATTTCTACAAATAAAAAAATCACGTGGATATTTTTCAGATCATAACACAGAAATTGCATGGTAGGGGTATCAGATATATGCAATATGACTCTATGTTAAAACATAGAGCGATTATTTTCAAACGATCCACAGTGAGTGTCGAACGTTGCATTGGCTAACCCTAACTATTACTCCGCTATCAAATGAAGCACAAATACCTTAATAGCAATTTTTATTTATTTCATCTTATTCCAAATCCAAATAGTAGTAAATATTTAGCTCTATTGGAGAAGATGGAAATATTTTCAAATCAATATAATTGAATTTGACGGCAATTAAAAATAAAAATCATATATTATTTTGTAAAAAATTAAATCAAAAGGTATACAAAACAAGTGTGAAAAGATTATTTTATTGTATAAAAAGATCGATAAAAATGTATAAAGACAATATAATTCATTTGATATGCGAATAATAACTATGAATCTTTTTTTGGAATAGAGGAAGTATTACCAAATACTCCGTATAAAGAATTAAAATTTATGTTTTCTCATAATTTATTTTTCTCCAAAGTCACAACCAAACTAACCCTTTATGTTTATTTTTTATTAGTTTTGATGTTAGAAGGTTTATGGAGTAATGAATCTTGAAAGCATGGTAAAAGTGGTTAATTTACTCCAAAGAATGGTTTAATAGTGAAAAAGAAGATTAGGGTGTGGAAGGGACAAAAGGAGAGAAAAGAAAAAGTCGCAAGCTGTCACGCAGCCACACAATTAGCCACATTTTCCACGCTCAACATTGTTAAATACTCCAACCCTTCTTTCTCACCCGTTCAAAGTCTCCACTAGTTTTCCCCAAACCACGCCAACCTCCTCCGTCTTCTCTCTCTCTCTCTCTATCTCTCTCTCCCTTCAACCCCCCTTTTTTTCTGGAGTTTTCTACAGGCCGGATCGAACCTGCCATGGAGATTCCCGATTTGAACATGATCAGCGATTTCGAAGCCGGCGTGAAATGTCTCCAGAACCCATCTCTGATTTCTAGCTCTCTTCCGATTTCCGGGATCGGCCGCAGTTTCTGGAAGTGGGGAGCTCTGATTCTCGCCCTGGTTGCGACTTTCCGCGGCATAATCCGCCGGATTAAGCTTTTCTTCTTCTATATCCGCGCCGTCAAGCCTTCCGTGGAGCCTCTGCTTCAGTATCTGAGCGAGGACTTCGATTTCTCCGACTCCGACGGTGAAGAAGACTCCTCGTGTTCTTCTTCGGAAGAGGAAGAGGTAGTCCGGCGGGCTACGACGTCGTTTGCCGGCCGTTTGAGAAATCGACGGCGGCGGGAGACCAGCGTCGTCGAAAGGTTTCCGTGGTCTGGTTTCGCGTCCGGCGGGAAGAGTGTGGTGAAGCTCTGGGATAATCTGGCTGTGGGTTACGATTTTGATGCCGAGGTTTTTATGAGGGAGGTCTACACCGATCTGAATCTAACGAATAAGGTTTTCCCCGAATCTCGAAGGTCGACGGCGATGGCGTCACCGGCGGTGGTCGTTTCATCGGAGGTGATTGGGAGCAGAAACGACGTCGTTGTAGCCGCTTATGATACCAGACTAAAGGGTAGATCTCCGGCTATATGTGCGGAGTGGCAGACGCCGGCGAAGATTAGTGTCGACGTCAATGCCGCCGGCGTCGAGAGGGTGTACGTCGAAGATCGCGCCGCCGGCGTAGTCACGGTCGGGGACTTGAGAAACATGAAGACAGCGCTGGGAGAATTAACGGAGGTTAACGTCGAAACGTGGTGGGACGCCGGCGCTTTAACTGCCGACGATGCGTGATGTAAGGATGAGCTGTCATCCTCATCTGTCAAGTTTGACGGAGTGGCGCACAATCAGAAACATGAAATGGCGAACTCGAATTAGACCAAATGAAATGTGATATTTGATGGGAACTTAGCTTTGTCGCTTTGTCTGTAAATGTTTACCCCGCATTTATTGTAATTTATTTTTGAACAATTTACCTGACACATTGATAATCTTTGATTCTTCAACCACCTACCAACATTTATTGTATTCCGTTCCTAAATGAAATTTAAAAGCTTTACTATTCAAATATTTCAAAAAATTTGTATTTATTTGTGTAATATCATTGCCTATTTGATGAAATAAAATTATTTTATCACAATTTTTTTATTAGAATTTTTGATGTATTTTTTAGGAGGAATAGCATGAATGCCCCTCGTGTGATTTACAAAAGGAGCGCCAAAACCTCCCTATTTTCAAAAGTTATTTATAAAATCTCTGTGGTTTTTAAAAAGTGCACAAGCACCCCCTCTTGCCTATTTTAGATATGAATTAACATTTCTACCCTTGGTTTTTCTCAATATTCAAATTTCACTCTTTTCTTTACATTTTTTATACAAATAAATAAAATAAAATATACGCCCTCTTTCTCAAATTAAAATTTTTCATTTATTTAATTTTTAAATTTTTTTTTAAGAAAATGTTACAAAAATGAAATAAAATACACTTTTTCATTATAAGTAAAAGTAAAATAAATAAAATAAAAAATTGGATAACATATACTCACTCTATCTCTAATTAAAAATTCTAACTTATTTTAAAAATAAAATAATTTTTTAAGGACTTTAAAAAATGAAGAACAGAAAGATGAAATAAAATATGGAGTTAAAGAAAAAGACTATTTTTTATATTTTTATTTCTTTTCATTATCTTTCCTAACTATTATTACTTTTTACTTTGTACATAATATTTTATTTTTCATTTTTTTGGTAACATTCTCCAAAAAATCTTTGTTTTCAAAAGTACATTATGAAAAATTCTAAATTGAAATGGGAAGCATATATTTTATTTTATATATTTGTATAATAAAGGAAATTGAAATTAGAAAAATTCAAGATCGGGGAAAACAAAGGGCATAAATATCATTTTTGTTTTAAAAATAGGTAAGGGAGCATGTGTGTTCTACTTAAAAACCACAGGGACTTTAAAAATAACTTTTGAAAATAGAGGAGGTTTTGACACACTTTTTGCAAATCACAGGGGGCACCTATGCTATTAACCCGTATTTTTTATATAGGTAAGTTTTATTTTTTTATTTAAATACTAATCTTTAAATAAAATAAATTGAAAAAATGGAGATTTTATTTCATTTTACGTAAAGGAGTAAATGATTTACGAAAGAAAGGTATACTTCTTCTCTTTTTACAAAACAATATTATTTTTATTTTCGTTCTTTTCAAGTATTTCTTTTGTTTCAAAATGCTTGGCTTATTTTACAAAATAAAGCGGAATTTTAAATTCTTTAAATTTTTTTAAAAAAATTAGTATTGTAGTAAAAAAACAAAATTTATATATTCAAAAATTATGTCAATAAGTTTAAATTAATCGATTAAAGTAAGATATATAAAACATATTTTATTTTATTAAATAATCGATAAAAATATACTAGTAAATAAAAATTTTAGTGATTTTTCAATAGTGAATCTTGGTATTTATACCGAGGGAGTAATGCACTTTATTTTTTTATTAAAAATGTCTTTAAAATGTCTCTTTAAAATAGCTTTAGGGGCTGTTTGTTTCAGCCTCTTAATGGTTCAGATGTCTGAATGATTCAACACTTAATGATTCAGACTATTTGTTTCAGCCTCTTAATAGTTCAGATGTCTGAATGGCTCAGACATTTGCCTCTGAATGGTTAAGTATTATACAGAGTCTAAATGGTTAAGACCTCTTATCTGAATTTATCAGACATTTGCCTCTGAATAGTTAAGCAATATACTAGCTCTTAATAGTTCAGACCTCTTACTGGTTCAGCACTTAATGGTTCAGACATCTTACTGGTTTAATACTTACCTATTCAGAAGTTACCAAACAGGCCCTTAGTAAAGCTAACTAAAGGTATTTTCAAGACATTGCACTAGTGGCCGATCCTCTACGCTAGACTTGAGAATATGTAAAATAACATACTAATCAGTATACTTATTGAAGCTTGATAAAAATGACATAGATTGATGAAGAGGTTGATCGATTAATGTCCAGTTTTCAAATTCAGCTACTAACGACTAAAACGAGGATAGTATCTAAAGTTTAAATATGTTAGAGTTTTGGAAAGGCATATTGGAGAAGTTATGTGTGACATTTTGTTAGAATAAAAGCCCAACGCTAGAGAGAGGTGAATAGCGTTTAAAACAAAATCGCAGGAAATTAAAAACGAGAGCGATAAAGTAAAGAGCGTAAGGAAGGAGCACACCGAATTTTATCCTGGCACAACGTGTGGCTAATCCAGCCTCCCGAGAGACTCTCTCGAGCTACACTAACTCCGTTAAGCTTAAGGGTGCTCAACAAACCGATACAACTTGAGAACCCGAGTCACACGAGCCTCAACGCCTTTGCTCGGAGATACCTCACTCCAAGACTTCTCACGAAGGAACACAGAACTTCCTTCGAGTTTACAACAAGGGAACAACCTCCCTTAAAGTGTATGAAAACACTTAAACACTCAGGAATAAAACTCTCACAAAGAGTAGATATGAGTGAACTAGTAAACGCTCAAGAACACGACAATTTCTTCAAGAATTGGCTCTCAAATAGCTAAGAAAAATAGGAATGCTTATGCAATGAAAGAGTATTGAAATGTTGAAGAATTGTGTGTAAAATGAGAGGATTTGGGTGCCATTTTATAGCCCAAANACAAGGGAACAACCTCCCTTAAAGTGTATGAAAACACTTAAACACTCAGGAATAAAACTCTCACAAAGAGTAGATATGAGTGAACTAGTAAACGCTCAAGAACACGACAATTTCTTCAAGAATTGGCTCTCAAATAGCTAAGAAAAATAGGAATGCTTATGCAATGAAAGAGTATTGAAATGTTGAAGAATTGTGTGTAAAATGAGAGGATTTGGGTGCCATTTTATAGCCCAAAATGGGATAAACCCGTTGCTAAAATTTTCAACAGGATGAAGACAAATTTTTCAGTGACACAGGGTGATAGTCGATTGTCAAAGCCTGATAATCGATTATCAAAAGATTCCCTGTCCAAAAATTTAAAATTCTATCCGTTGGAGGACAACGGTAACCCAGATAATCGATTGTCAACAAGTGATAATCGACCATTGGTCCTCTCAGAAGATTCTGTGTTTTGGCTGCAGAGGCGGATAATCGATTGTTGCAGAAGTGACAATCGATTATTGCGTGCTTCAGAACTTTGAAGTTCAAAGCTGCAGAGGCTGATAGTCGATTATCAGTAAGGTGATAATCGATTATCAGCCAGCTAAGACCCAGCCGGCGAAAACCCTTTTTGAAAAACCGAGGTCCAAAAACGAAGTGTTCCCAAAAGTAAAAACCAAGTTTGAAAAACATTGTAAATGGTATAACATAGTGAAACCAAGACTTGTTTGATAAAAACCAAGTCTTCAAGGTCATTTATCACGTGTGTACGGTTTTGACCGTTTTTCACGTGTTAGACCGATTGACCAAGATACAAAAGTGGTTTTTATAAGATAATTATTTGGGAACCTTTTAAATATGCCTAGAGATAAAAGCGAGGTTTAAAATATTGAAAACCACCGAGATGGTTCAGACGCCGAAAACCGAACGCCGAAACTCGAATGCCAGACGCCGATACCGAACACCGACCGAGGTGGTTTTTTGTCCGGGCAAGGACCAGGGATTTAAATAAAAAATTTATCAAAAAATGTTTATTTTGATGCACAAAAACATTTTATGATTTTGTAAAATTATTTTGACTCTTTGAGAACCGAGACTTGAATTGATTGTCGGTTTTGATCACAAAAGACCGACTCGACTAAGTCTTCAATTCTTGATCTTGTCCTTGAGTCTTTTGGTCTTGTTCCATGCCATTCTTCACGCCTTGAGTTATTCAACGAAACTCTTCATATCCACGGCGGTTTGGTAATTATCAAAACCTGTCAGAAATGCACACGATTTTAGTTTAACTCCACAAAAAAATGTGTTCCAACACATTTGACTCTAGATTAATTTATACTTGTACTAAATAAGCGTGTATTCAACGCACTTCTAAATCTGATGCATATTATTGGTGTAACATCTTAAAAAGTTATGGGGTACTGGTGCAATTTTTAAAGCTCAGAAGGAATTCATAAAAACTTTTAAAAATTTAGAGGTAAATAAGGCAAAAAAAAACTCATCTAATTTTGCATATCAAAACTAAAAGTAACATTAATATACCCTTCTTAAACTTTTCAAATGTCAAAAAATGAAACTCTTTTTATCAAAATCGGGGGAGCAACTTATTTTGGAGTTGGAGGAGGGGGGAGGGGGACTCAGTTGGTTGGGTAAGGAGTGGTGTAAAAGGGGTAAAACCGAGTTTAATTTCTAACAACTGTGCTGTAAAGTAACAATGCAAGCATTGAGTATCCGCGAGTTCCAAATGCCGGTTACATTCCACCCTTCCCCAACCCATCTTAGATTAAAGCAAGCTCAATTAATTGACCATGTGACGAGTTCTAAAAGAGCTCTCAAGGATGTGTCTCATTTATTTTTTGTATCTTATTATGGATAACTTACCAAACACTTACAGATTGATTATAGCTGATTCTTACACCATTTGTTTGGGCTGAGGGAATTATCGCCAAAGTAATGTCAGATGAGGTAAACTTTGACTCAAGTTCTGGCAGTAACAAAAAAAAAAGAACATGTTAAGCATGAGTTCTTGTACTAACTAGTAACTAAGGACAAATTTCAATTTTCCTCGACTAGATTAAGATTAAAGCTAAACTTAACTCTTCCCAACCTATAGCCCGGACAGTACTACAGGTTGGGATATACTCTTTTTTGGACTTGTGTATGGATAACTTTTTCATAAAATGAAACAAAATAAAAATTAGATATCTTAAGATAATAAGTAAATAGATTTATTTCTCCTCCTATTAAGGCTCCGTTCCATTCAACTTATTTTTTCTGATCTAATCTGATTTTCTGTAGTTCTGATCAGATCTGGTCTGATCTGATTGGATCTGATTGAATCTGATCTGATCTAGTCTGATCTGATTCGATCTGATCTGATTAATTATGATGATTTGATTTAAAATTCAAATC